CCCAGAGCCTGACGCGGGGCTCGAACTCACGGACCGCGAGATCATGACCTGGCTGAAGTCGGACGCTTAACCGACTGCGCCACCCAGGCGCCCCTAGCTTTGTTTTTTTAAAAAAAAAATGTACCTAACGTTATTTATCTTGATTACTGCATTTTCTGCCTGCCCACCTGCCTGCCTCACTCACCTCACTCCCGTCCCAGCCCTGCCAAGAGGAAAGTGGGTCTGAAGAAGGGCCTGTGGCCTGTGCTACTGTAGGCCAACCTCCTCGTTATAAAATCAAAACCAAGGCTCTGAGAGGAAACAGTGGCACGCCCACGCTGGTGTTGAAATGCAGGGTGGAGTATCTCCAAAGTGCAGGAACCCATGCCAGGCACTCCCCCCAACCAACGAAGGGAAGTGCTGTCATCAGCCCATTTCACAGATGAAGAAACTGAGGCTCAGAGTGGGGAGGGGACTTGCCCAGGCTCCACAGGTAAGTGGCAAAGCTAGGACACCTCAATCCCAAACTGCCTCCTCTCACTTCACCCCTCTCTTTCCGCACCAGGTGTCTCTGTGCGACCCTGCGTCCCCTGTCAGCTCGCCACCTTCCCGGCCTGCTGCCAGAGTCCCTTCTCTAAGACTCACCGCAGACGGCATCCGTCTTGTTGGTCCCCGCCTGAAGCTCCACCAGGCCTTTGGTCTCACACCTGTGCACAGACAGGCGCACGCACATGTGCACACACGGACACACGGTGAGAGAAAGAGACATTACATTTCCCCAGCCGTAAGATTTCCAACCCCGGAGGGAGACCATCAAAACCAACAAGTTCAGGTTCACTGAGCACGTATTGTGTGCAAGCCCCTGTGCTGGTTATTATGGGAATGACACAGACTCTGTTCTTAGGGAAGTCATGAGTGCAGAGAAAACATTATTGCGCATCTTCAAGGAGGAATAATAGGCCAAAGTTTGTCACATAGGTCAAAGTGAACTGGGAATTGTTCAGAGAAGGGGAGACAAAGCCCACAGTGGCTGGAATAGAGGGGTGATGAATTCAGTTTAAGGCAGGGCTTCTCAGCCTCAGCACTACTGACGTGTGGGGCCACATAACTCTCTGTTGTGGGACCGTCCTGTGCACCGTAGGACACTCAGCAACACCCCCGGCCTCCACCCACTAGTTGCCAGTAGCAGCCCCTCCTCAGTTGTGACAACCAAAACGTCTCCAGATATTGCCAGATGTCCCCTGGGGAGAAAAACCGCTCAGTTGAGAATCTCTGGGTTAAAGGCTCGTCCAGAAAGACTTCCCTAGGGAAGGGCGATCTGAGCGGCCCTGAAGGATGTAAACTTAGAGCAGCAGAACATTCTAGCTGAAGCAGGACAATGTGATTTGAGGGATTAGGTGGGGGAGGGGGGCGTGCCAACCGGTATTAGGGAACTATGGAAAATTGGGTCTTTAGAACCAGATCACCGGTAATCAGCCATGAAGGTTTCAACTGGATTCAGCTGGGAAGTCGCATCAGCACCCAACCAGACGCCCCAACAGTGAGAGGACTCACTTGGCCGGAGAGCTTGCAGGAGGAGAAATTATGGAAGAGTGGACAGCTGGGAGGCCTGCGCAGGAGTCTCAATATGGGATGATGAAGATGTGGTCGCTGGAGGGGTGGGGAGGAACGGATAGAAAAGGACACCACGAAGAAAAAAAACATCTAAAGTGGGAAAAGGGTGAGAAGCTTCAAAGAAAGCACATACATAAGAATGCTTAGGTGTCTACAAGGCACCCCTACATGTCTTTTCCTCATGCCTTGTGAGATGAAGGTCATTCCCATTCTCCAAGTGAGGGCACTGAGGCTCAGAGGGTCGCAAACTTTCTAAGCTGCAGTGAGGCTGGAACTCAGGGCTCTGATCTTTTTTTTTATTTATTTTATTTTTTATTTTTTTTTTAAATTTTTTTTTTTAACGTTTATTTATTTTTGAGACAGAGAGAGACAGATCATGAACAGGGGAGGGGCAGAGAGAGAGGGAGACACAGAATCGGAAGCAGGCCCCAGGCTCTGAGCCATCAGCACAGAGCCCGACGCGGGGCTCGAACTCACAGACCGCGAGATCGTGACCTGAGCTGAAGTCGGACGCTTAACCGACTGAGCCACCCAGGCGCCCCGACAGGGCTCTGATCTTATTAACCAAGGTGCCCCCAGTTATCATTCAACATTTATCGGTAAAGATTAATTGAGCACTTACTATGCATGGACACTGTTCTAGGCATAAGGAATGCATCACCGGAACAAAAAAAAAAAAAAAAGGCCAAGTCCCTACACTGAAGGAATCTGCAGTCTACTGGAGCAAGGCAGACAGTAAACAAATAACAAAGTATATACGAGATGCTAGTATTTGTGTGGAAAATACGTGTTTGCATGCGTGTGCATTTATTTATTTGTACATAGACTCTCTGGCAGGACACACAGGGGGAAAAGCTGCTTCCAGGGAGGAGAACTGAGTGGCCAAGGAACAGAAACTCATCACCATAGGCTCTCTCGTGCCTTGTGTTTCATGAGCCTCTCTTACCCATTTTTTTTTTTAATTAAATGTAAAAAATAATTGGGCGGTGTTTAAGGGTATTCCGGGCAGGAGAGTTTGATGCAAGAGGAGAAACAGCACATTGAGGGCATCGCAGGTAGCATGTGGGGAAAAGTCAAGAAATGGTGCCGCAAGTTAGGGGAGCAGGTGAAGGAGTCTACGTTTCATCCTAAAGGCACAGGGAGTCACGAAGCCTTTTAAATAGGGAGCACTGTGATTTGAAATAAACTAGAAAGCTCACTTTGGCAAGAGGATAGAGACACAGCTGAAGAGGAGAGACCAGAGGCAGGGAGGCTGGTGAGGAGGTGAAGGCACCATCCAGACCACAGGGATGACCACAGGGATGACCACTGGAGAGAAAAGGAATCCCAAAACATTTGGAAGGCTAGATAGACAGGACCTGGTACCTGATGTGGGCTTGGAGGTGAGGGAGGGACCACGGGACAAGTGCCCAAACACAAGTGAGTGTCTTCCCAGAGGGTGAGAGGGGCGGGCAAGTGAGTCCATTTGGTGCCTGTGGGTCAACTGCGTGGAGTTGGACCCTTGGTGGTGGCATGTTACTGTCTTGGACCCAGGAGACAGATCCAGACAATAGATGCTGATTGGGAACCATGGATATGGATGAGATGCCCGGGGGAGGCGGGCAAAGTGATTGGGGAGTAGAGCCTAGAACAAAGGCCAAGGAAATCAGTTAGAAGGAGCAGAGGAGAAGTAGAAGGAAAGCAAGAGAGGTGTCCTGGTGCCCCCAAGAAGGGAGTTTCATGAAGATCAAGAGGTCAGCAGTATCTGTTACCGCCAAGACAGAGCAGAAAAAAAAAAAAAAAATGCTGAAAAGTGGCCTTTGGGTCAACCATGTGGACACTCTAGAAGTTCTCTATGTGCACAAGTGTGTGGGCATGGGGAGCAGGGGCTGAAGGACAGGTGGCCGGGTAGAATAGAAGTAGTCCCACACCCCTCTTAGGGCAGGAAACAGGGGGTGAATCCTTGTACCTCGTCCAAGGGTGACACTTTTCCAAAGCAGATGACACATTGGAGAAGAAGCCGGCTGGGCACGGATGGCAGATGGTATCAGAAACCCCTGTAGCTGGAAGGGAGGAGGTGGCTTTCGTCATCACAGGGGACCACCCACCCGACTCTCAAGGGAACAGGTGGACAGGAAGGGCCAGAAGAACCATCTATGTCAAGTGCTGTCCCCCAGCACAGAGCTTCCCCGACTGCTGCAGCCCCTAAGAAGCCTCCTCCCACTGCCCAACCAAGGCAGATACCCAGGGCTGGAGGCAGGACAAGAAAGGTGCCACTTCCTGCTCACCAAGCAGAGGTACCAATGCAGGGTGGCCCCTCCACCTCCGAGACCGAGCGCCCACTGCCCAATCCCTCACCGTGAGTGTCAGCTCCTCTCTCCTGCCCACAGAGCCAATTCCCAGCAGGCCACTTACCAACCTGCTTGACTCCAAGGCCAGGGGGGCACAGGGTGTGCTGGATGCAGCTTTCACAGGCGTCGCTGGTACAGTGTAGACCTTCGTCACATGTGCAAGTGGTGTCAGTTTCTGAGGTGCCTTCCCTCTGGACCTGGAGCCCTTGGTCTGAGCAGAGATGGCAGGAAGGATGGGGACCCCTTACGAGCCATGCTTGGGGGATCTGCCCCTCACACTTCCTGCTTTTATCAGACCCTCTTCCAAGTAGGGATAGGAATCAAATTATTTAACAACCGGTACAACCCAGACTCCAACCAATCAGAACAGACCCTGGCTATTAAAAAGCAACGGCTGCATTGTCAGGAATAAGTTAGACTATCAGCCTGACTCCCCGCGCACCCCTTCCCCAGCAGCCCACGCACTGGGGTCGCAGTACTTGTGCTGGTGACAGTGTCTCTCTATGTTCCAAGTGTCTAGGAATTCGCCTTTTTTGCAAGGAAGGCATTCCGTGGAGGTGACCTCTGTGCAGTCATTCACCAGTTTCTCTCCTGGAAAACATCAGGAAATGAAGCAGCTCCAGACGGCTCAATGAGTCAAGACATTTATCAAAAACTGATCAGGCTGGGTTTTAGGGCAGGGGATTCAAAGATGACAGTCTCGGACCCTTCTAGACTTCATAGTCTGGTGGGGGACATGGGAGAGATAGGAGCCCCACTCCCGGGTAGGCAGAGAGGGGACCCAGGACATTCTGGCTGCAGGGCGGGGATGGGGAAAATCCCAGGGGTCATTTGAGACTCAAGTTTACAGTTGACACACGGGGCCTGCACCCACCAGGAAGCCAGGAAGGGTCCCGCTGTGGGGCTGGAGGGTCGGCTGCTCACCTGGCTGGCACTTATCACAGCACCGACTGTTTATCAGGTACTGGTTTTCTCTGCACGTAGTGCGTGGTTCTGGGTGGACCTAAAAACAGAATTGGACGATTTGAGGGGCTCTTGAAATCTCTACTGCAGCCTCTAAGGCAGGAAGGTGGAAGTCAGCCAGCACAGAGGTTAGAACTGAAGTGGAAGTCCAAAGCAGAAAACTGGAGCCTGCATATTACTTGGTGTGTTTGTTTTTAACTAAATTGCCAACTGACGTGATTATAAAAGCACCCAGAGGATCGGTCTGGCATTTTACAAAGCGATTGCACTGGGACATCGCAATATTCTCGGCACTAAACAGATCTTCCTTTTGGCTTGACGCCTGAGTCTTTCCTCTTCCCAAACACCCAGGAGCACATGAGAGCTCCGGTACCTCCCCTGGCGTCCTGAGGCTGGCTAGGCAGCTGGTCCTAGGCCTGGCCGAGGCTATATTTAGCACTTGGCCGCTTCCTTCAATTCTTCTGCTCCCCACCCCTTTTCCCTCTCCAAACCCTGATCTTCTGATTATCCAACCCCTCTCTCATGAAATGCCAGGACTGTGAAGCTGGAAGGAAAAAAATCCAACTTTTTTGCATTACAAATGGTAAGGCTAAGGACCAGAGAGGTTGGGTCACCTGCCCAGGGTCACACAGTGATAGAATCTGAATAAGAACTCAGCTGTCAATACTCCCCCTCTCCGTCAACTGCACTATTTTTTACTCCATCCAGGTACCATTAATTTAAGTACATTTGTTTTATTTTTTAACCATTGTGATTTTTATTTATTTTTAAGTTTATTTTATTTATTTATTTTGAGAGAGAGAATGCGCACGCTAGTATAAGCGGGGGAGGGATAGAAGGAGGGGATGGGGGGGGGGAGAGAATCTCAAGCAGGCTCCGCACCATCAGCGCAGAGCCCGATGCAGGGCTCATACTCACAAACCATGAGATCGTGACCTGAGCTGAACTCAAGAGTCAGACGCCCAACTGACTGAGTCACCCAGGCACCCCTTATTTTATTTCTTTTTAATGCTTATTTATTTTTGAGAGAGAGAGAGAGAGAGGACACGAGCAGGGGAGGGGCAGAGAAGAGAAGGAGACAGAGGATCCGAAGCAGGCTCTACGTCGACAGCAGCGAGCCCAATGCAGGGCTCCAAATCACGAACCATGAGATGGTGACCTGAGTGGAAGTTGGACAGTTAACCAACTGAGCCACCCTGGTGCCCCTGAATACGTTTATTTTAAATGTAAACCTTATAGCGCTGCCATCAGAGAAGAACCAGTATCACTTCTCATAAATAAAAGGCAACCCTAAAAATAAATTCAACAGAAGCAAAACAATGTTATTAAAACCCAGCTGGTTGCTTTGCTTGCTGACCTTGGCTTTTGTTTCAAAAAGGGGGATTAACGGGGCACCTGGGTGGCCCAGTCAGTTGAGTGACGGACTCTTGATTTCGGCTCAGATCAGGGTTGTGGGATTGAGCCCCGCATGGGGTCAGCACTGAGAGTGGAACCAGTGCTGAGCGGTAACCTGCTCAAGATTGTCTCTCCCTCTCCCTCCGCCCCTCTCCCCTGCTCGTGCTCTCCCTCTCTCTCTCTCTCTCTCTCTCTAATAAAATAAATAAATAATTTTAAAAATAAATAAATAATAAAAAAGGAGGATTAGCAAATGCTGGAGAGGTTTTAACTATATTCTAGCTCCAAAGACCTCCTCCTTGAAAAAAAGGAGGATTTTAACAGAACTGTAAAACAAATCTATGTTGTTTAGTCCCGTACCCTTGTGCTCCCTAAAATCATGCCACACTTGGGAAACAGCCAGTGAAAAGAGCACAGGATTGAGAATCCAACAGTGTAAGGCTGCAATCTTGACGTCATAACACTTACTAGTTATGTTGTCTCTTAGCCTCAGTTTCCGCATCTCTAAAATGGGAGTAATGCCTGCCCCACAGATTCGGTTGTGAAAATCAGAATGAATATATGTATATGGCCTGGCACGGCAGCTAGAACATAGGAGGTGCTCATTAAAAGGCACTTTTAATTATCATATATATATGAATATCTGTTTGGATGACTAACGCCCTGGCTAACTGGCTGGCTGTCCAGGATTCTGCCTAATTGGTGGCTCTCATTCAATGAGAAAATTACCTACAGAAGTGAATCTTACTCCAAATGGAGAAGGAAGTATGAAGGTCTGTTGCCTCCACCACCACATCCTGTGAATGTTCTTCCTACAACCCTGTGGACTTTCCCACTAGACTCCCAGGGCAACGAAAGTCCTTTATGCCATGTTCAAACCTATGAGAAATACGGCTTCTTCTCTGAAAGTTTGTCAATCTCCAGCTCCCACTCCATAGCTCTAATCCTTCTGACAAAGCAGCTCAGGACCTAGGCTTGGGGAGGCGGGCGTGGGCATCAGGCAGACGGAGATTTACATCCAGGTTCCACCTAGCTGTGAGAACTCTGGCAAGTTCTTTCCTCTCTCTGAGCCTCCGTTTGCTCATCTGTACAACGGGGGAGTCAAAAAAATCAGACCAAGAATGCGTGTAAAGCATTTTGCTCGGAGCCTGACAGAAAGGAAAGTCTCAAAAACAGTCCCTGCTATTGTCATAGCCCAGTCTCTACCTGGAGCCAGACCTGGTAGTGTGCTCTTGAGAAGCCCAGACCACCCTTCTTCCTGAATCCCCTGGCTCTCCCTCCAATCCTCCTACAAGAGCCCTCTTCCTCCTCTCACTAGCTCCAACACTGCCCCGCCCCCCCCCCCAACTCCCTTCTCCCTAAGAACCATTGCTTAGAGTGAAAATGAAAGTTCTGGGACAAAAGCAGCTTCCCCAACTGCTCTCTTCCCTTGCTGCTGACTCCCCTCCCCTGCGCCTCCATGGGTCTTTCCTGCCCAGACTTCATGCCAGAAACTACGGCCCTTGAAAGCAGGGGGAGGCCGGAGAGGTTGGAATGAGAGCGGCAGGTACTTGGGGGGATTCCCAGCCTCCAGAATGAGGAACTACAAAAATACATTTGAACAAAAAGTGAGTCAAGTGTGGGCCTCTGAAAATCCCGGAGATGTGCTTGGTTGGGCATAACTGAGACTTTCTGGTGCCTGGAGAAACCCCTGCTGGTCTCCTCACCCCACCCCTGGGTCCCTTGAATTATTCATCTCCCCCAGGGGTCCTCTATGTCATCTTAAATTCAGGAGGCAGAGACACAGCCTTGGGTATTCCTCCTAGGTTGGATCACCCAGGATTTGGGGGTCGAGGTGGGGTGGGAGTGTTAAAAACCCCTTGCCTTCTCAAAGAAGTACCTGGGCCTCTGCACCCACCCTTGTTCCCACAAGATACTCTGCAAGAAGGCGGCCCCAGGGGGCCAGGACATGATAACCGCTCACAGAGGCTGCCTGCCATCTGTCCACAATGTTAAAGGGACAGGAAACCTGCCAGACCCGCCCCTGCCCTTGCCCCGGCCTCCCTTCTCATCTCTGAAACCCCTCAGCAGTCTCCGCGTGGCCAGCCTCTGAGGCAAACCCAGACTCCAGCCTCCCGACCAAATAAAGTCTTGAGTCTCCCAAAATCCCAACCCCGTCCACGCCGCAGGTGCACGTTTCCTGCAGTGGCCCCCCACCACCACCACGCGCCCTCTTGGGGCTACCTGGGACCCCAACCTGGGATGACACAGAAGCAGCCGGGACCCGGGGTACCTTACGCACCTTCTACCCCGTCTTCTATCCCCCAAAATCAGCTAGGAAGTTGCCTTCCCCGAAATATTGCTTCTCTTCCCATTCTCCACTCTCAAATCCCCAAATCCCCCGTCGGGTCGGAGCAGAAACTCAACTTACGGCGGTCAACACGCAGCCCCAGAGGAGACAGCGCAGAGGCAGAAGAACCATGGCGAGGTGAGTACCTAGCGGCCGAGTACGGGTGCGGGCACTGCGCGCGTAGTAACTCCCTCGGCCCGTGCCCCACCCCACGCGCGCCCGCCCAGAAAATGGGCGGGGTCTTCGGGGACCAATCGCGGCCAGCATCGTTGGGGGAGGCGGAGCTCCTGACAAAGCTGGGCGCCGGGATTTCCCCCGAACGTTCCTAGGAGTCGAATCTCCCGGGAGAGTAGGGACTTGCTTTCGGCGAGGGGGAGGGCGCGTGGTCCCTGGAAGTGCACTTCCTCCTCGCCCCTGGGACTCAGAGGCCAAGCTGAAGAGGGCAAGGAGCTAGCAGTGTTTCCGGAGCGCGAAGGCAGAAAAGAGAGATCCCCCGCGTGCTGGGAAGAAGCCCCAGGGACACCCCCCCCCACGGTTCCCCACCCACCCCCCCGCAGCCTCCGGGAATTCCGGCAGAACCGAAAGTGTCCCCACCGCGGATGCACAGGCCTGAGGAAGTTCCCCGCATCCCAGAAACCGGGAAGGCCATAGCTGGGGTGTGGGGGAGAGGAGGGCTCCGGTGGCGTTTCAAGGAAAACAGTTTCCCAGCTTAAAGTTTCCCTCTCTTTCAAAGGAAATTCCCTCCTGTGGATGCAGCGTCCCAGCCTCCCCATCCATCCATCCATCCATCCATCCATCCATTCATGCGTCTCCACCAGATTCTATTCCAACGCAGCCGTTCCCATCTGTCACCCGGAGACAGGCATTTGGAGTAGCACATCAGCCTTTGTGTGGGAGCGCAGGACCCCGTGAGAATCTCAGGAGACTCGGGACTCTTTCCTTCTGCAGAAACACACACACCCTTGTGCCCACATTGCCCGGGTTCTGGCCCTTCTTCAACCAGTGTTAACACGGTCTACTCAGCAGCATAGAATCCCTGAATTCTGACCGAGACTCTCCTTCTGATGGGTTGACTTCCCTTGAGCTTTGGTTGTCGCCAGTGCAACCTGAGGAGCGTGAGCTAGACAGCTGGTTGTCGGGGTGACGGACTCCCCACGTTCTGCATTTCCGGGCCAGGCCAAAAGGCCAGGCTGCATGGAATCAGACAGGATGGGAGACGAAGGGGCTGTTAACTCCACCCTCCTGGCTTCTGCTGCAAAGGGCACCCTCCTTTCCATCACCTCCACCACTGATTCACAGGCTTATCATCTCTCACCTGGGCTGTCCCAACAGCCTCCCTCCTTCACTAGGTACCTTTTCAGCCCCTACTATGGGCCAGGCAACTCTCAACTAACTAACCGTCCCCCACTCCCCCCTTCTCTCGTTGTTCATACTGTTGCAATTCTCTTTGCAAACCCCAGGTCTGATCTGCTCCGGACACTTCCCTGCTGAATAACCTCTTTGGGCTCCCCATCCTCAAGATGGTCCAAACCCCTCCTCCTGACCCAGCAAGCTCTTCTCCACTCTACCCCCACCTGTCTCCCCATGCTCACTCCCTGCCATGTCCTCCCATGCACACTGGTTTCCACCATACTCTCCTCCCCACGTTCAAACGATCTTGTCTTCTTACTGTGTCTTGCTGTTTCCTTCTTTCCCCTCTCCTTCCTGGAACCAGTTTAAATTTCACCTTCTCGTTGGTTAAACCTCCTCTTAACTTCCTGCGCCCCTTCCTTAGCCCCTTCTCCATGTTCCCACAGCATTAGCCTGCTGGACTAGAATTCCATCTGTCTGGCCCCATTGGACCGTGAGCTCCTTGAAGGCAAGGCTGACTTCATCCCAGTCTGGGGCACGTAATAGGACACCAATACATATTTGCTGAGTGAATAAATGAGTAAGTGGGTTCAGTAACTTCTCATTTGCAGTACATCCTCCATCAGGAAGGATGTGGGGGGCAGGAGATGCAAAGCTGATTGGTAGCCGCAACACATCACAAGCTGGTGGTCAGACACCGATAAGCCAGGAACGCTTGAAATCAGAGTCCAGGGGACTTCACGAAAGCCACCAAACATGCCTGGGATAAAGAGAATATTAAACTTTCTTTTCCCTTTTTAACCCACTTCAAAAAGCAAACACAGCTTTAATTCCTTTGGGAGGGGGGAGGGCGTTGCTATAATAACTTCAGCCATTACTTATTCTTTATTTGCTTGATTCCAAAATTGGGCCCTTCACAAAACTGCCTTGGGAAGCAAGTACACAGAATTAAAACGTTAATTATATTATATAAAACATATCATGGTCGTAATTAAAGCTGCTTAAATTAATGTGTGGAAGAATAAATAGTAGCCTTCGGGTTGCCCCATGGGGTGAAGACCAGATAAGATAAAGGGAAGATATTTTAGTATATGCATATCCCAAGGAGACATGTGCTGTGGGGAGAGGCTAAGAGAAGGCATAGAATCCTCCTGGGCTGAGAAAAATACACTGGAAGAGGAAAGCGAGATGATTTATAGGGAGGATGGCAATATTTCAGAGTCCTGTCAAAGAGGGGAACTATTTAGGAAGGGTTCAAAGATAGGGCAAAGGACATTCCAGGAGTGGGGACCCAGGATTTTGGAATGACAAGATATGCCCTTTGCAGGAGGTGGGGAGGGGGGCAGTCACAGGGCCACATGGATGGGTAAGAAGCAGGCCTGGACGTCAAGTCCACAACATAGCCAGAATCTGGTGAGCAGATGATTCTAATATGAAAATCCCATTGTGTTGCTCTTAGGTTTGAAGCAACTCCCTAGAGCCCTCACTCCTTAAGCTCACAGGACCTCAAGGCCATGGGCTCCTTCTGCCCTCAACTTTCTGCTCCAGACTGTGCCACCACCTCTGCCGGAAAGACCTTCTCCATTCTCCTTTCATTGGATCAACCCCTTCTCATCTTTCAAGTCTCAGCTCAGGTGCTGAAGCAGAGCCCTCTGCATCAGCCCTCTGCAAGCCCGGAAAGCCCTCTGCATCAGCCACCCTGGAATGTGCACCCACCAACCTCCCCTCGCCCTCTCAGAACCCTGCGGCTGCTTACCTAAGCAAGCCTCCAGCCCTACCACACTGTATTCCAGTTATTCTGTTTACTCATGGAACCGGTATACTGAGGCGACTCGACTTGATAGGGCATAATAATGAAGCTTTCCCCCCTAATCTCTACCTTCAGCTATGCTGTGGTGAATTTCCCTTTTCCATCCCTTAATGACATCTTGGGCAGATTGCATTACTTTTGGATCACTTTCTGTTGTTAAACCTCCATCCTTGAAAGCTTTATTCTCAAACTCAATTTAAATCTCATTCTGTCTTCTCCCTTACTCATCCAAGGGTTGACTGGAGCCAGGATCCTGCCAGTTCGAATAAAGGGTGGGGGAGGGGAGCCTAGCCGGCTTGGAAACATGCCCCAGCACCCTCCCCCTTGTTGAAATTGGGAAAGGGGGAATGGGAAGAGCCCTCCACAGTAGCTCCCTCCCTGTGGGTTGACCCTGTTTCCCGGGCTAACCTGGAGTAGCAAGTGTTTACAAATGGTTTCTCATGGGCCACATGAGTATACCTCTGTGGGCTTCCCCACTGCACAGTCCTCTGACAGGGGGCTTCGGGCTCAGGTTTCAGCTTCCCCACCTTGCCCCGCCACCTCTGCTTCTGCCTCTGGTGGGACCCTCTTGCTCTGCAGTCAGCCTGCTCCAGTGGAACACTAGGAGCTTAGCTAACTACTACTGGGTCCACTTGACCCAGAGAAACTCAAGACGTCCTGGCCAGCGGCTCCACGGTGACCCCTCTCTCCACCTCTCTCTTCCCCTGCTCAGACAGACCCAGGGGGACATCAGCAAGTCCACTACCAAGTTGACCCCCACTGGGGAACAGCATCCCAGCATCCCCTTTTTGCAGCCACCCCTCAATCTCCAGAAGGGACTCCCAATGAAAAGGGGGAGAAAAGGGAATTGCTTTCACAATAAACACTATATTCCTCATCAAAACCAAAGAACTCCTCCCTCCCCAGTATTACTGTTTGGGCAAGGAAGAGGAAAGTGAGCTTACAGCTAGGGGATCTGAGCCATTTGTGCCCCCTTCAGTAAACCTGGCAGGCTCCATTCAGAATGCGGGTTACACAGGGCCTGTTTGCTTTGGCCGTGGGACATGGTACCAATTCCTGAGTAATGGGGAGTTCCCACTCAGTAACCTTTGGATTGGGCCATCCTTCATGCCTAACTTGATGCTTGGAGAGGACGGTCTTTGTAGCCTGAGGCCCACACAGAGCCCAGGCACATGCTAGATGCTGAGCAAGTATTTGTTGAGTGAACGTGGGACTATAAAGTAATGAGACTGTAGGGCTCCATCGCTTCTACCTGATCATTCTCACACTGTCTGGGGAGCTGCTCATCTCCCTCCACCAGAGAACCAGGCTCTCTAGCTAGGATTCCCAGGCCCAACTGTAAACACAAATCTCTCCTTTCAGCTCAGCATAGTTGGGGTGGGATTTATCAAAAGGACTACGAAACTCAGAAAAGAACCCAACCATAAGTTAAGAACACCTGAGAGCCAGCAAAAAAAAAAGATGGATGAACTGACAAGTTATAGACATTTTTTTTAGCATGATCTGGTCAAAGCCACTTACTGACTTGGCTGATCCTGATTTCCTAGACCTCGGGGTCTTGTCCTCAGCCTTGTCAAGCTTTGATGTCTGGAATGTGAGATGGCTTTGGTTGGGGGAGAGGATCCAAATCCCTTATAGTGGCCTCAAGACCTTGAGTAATCTGACTTCTGATGATAGTACCTTCTACACACCCACTTGCAGGCTACACCCCAGCCATCCAGTCTTCTTGGTTCACCTCAGAGCCTTTGTCTGTGCTGTTCCCTCTGCCGGAAAGGCCCCTCCTCCCACTCTTCATCTGCTGACTCTTCATCACCATTCAGATCTCCGGGCAAATGACACCCTCAGAGAGTTCTTCCCTGATAACTTTATCTAAAGTTAAGTTCCTCTGCTGCAACCCACTTCCCCACCGCTGTCCTCTCTCATGGCACCTGTTCTAGTCACAGTTGTCATTGCAAGCAAGACAAGACGGAGC